TTTTTTTTTTTTTTTTTTGGTCCTGGGGATTGAACTCAGGCCCTTGTGCTTGCCAGGCAGGTGCTGAAACCACTGAGCAAAATCCCTGGTCCTAAACTGTTTCTTTCCTTTGGTTTTATTCTGTCATTCAGTTTTTCTTGTGTGTGCCTAGTAATGTTTTTACCGAATAGCAACTATTTATGTAAAAAGCTGTCCAGAATCAAGAAAATAATTATCTTCATTCAGGAAGAGTTAACTCAGTCCTTTATTAGCTTAATATAGCCATACCAAATCAAGTAACCTTAGTTGAAATAGGCACTGTGCTTAGTTAAGGTTCTTTGAAGTCCTGATATGCATCTAGTGCTATGGAATTTTCAGTTGAGAACAGGGGCTATTTGCCACAGCCCTCTGACAAGTTCTAAAACTCTAACCTTTGTAAAACATGAAAAAGTTTACTCTGCTTTTCAAGAATTTTCAAGTTGATGAGATTTTTTGGTCTTCCCTGGGTTTCTTTGAGTTTGACAGTTGACCCTGAGCTTAAATACTCCAGACTGCCGAAAGCTACTGAACTCTGTTGTATGTTTTTAGACTTGGAAAATTTCTTGGGGTAAAACTGATAGCAGGACTCAGTTCCCAATCCATGGATTTTCTATCTCAGAAATCTTATTCCAATGAGTTCTTATAGATCATTTGCTTGTTACTTTAAAGTGATAATTTATGCTGGGGGTTTAGCTCACTGGTGCCGCTGCCTGCCTCACAAGCACAGGTCCTGAGTTTGATCCCTGCTACCAAAAAAAGGTGATAATTTATTACTTTTAGCCAATTTTTATGATTCCTTTCTGCAGCCAGATAATCCATATAACCTGGAAGCAGGAAAAGAACTCTACCAAGCACATGTATAAGTTTTAAAAAATATCTGTGTATGTGTGTGTGTGTGTGTGTGTGTGTGTGTGTGTGTGTGTGTTGCTGGGCATGGTACCCAGGCCCTTATGCATGTCAGGCAAGTACTCTATTGCTAAGATACACCTCCATTCTAGAAGAGGAATTTAAAAGTGGCATAGGCTACTTTGTCTTCAGTAGAACTTCTGCCCTCAGAATAACATGTGTTAAACTTACTACATGCTGTGCTTTGAAACAGCAAAGAAATGATAAAACATCAATTTTTAATAGAGAAATGTGGAAAAAAAATCATTGAATTTGGTGTCACTGTCAAGATATTTTACCTCTGTTCTCTAATTTAATGCTGTAACTAAAGAACTGGTCTCTTTTCAGAATGTACGTGAATATATTTGGATCATTATTACTACTAAATTTTAGTAATAATCACTTTCAGGATGGGGTGTAATTCATATGTCTTACTTCTGGGTGGCTTAAACTGCCTATGATTTATGCGTGACTATCCCATGGGTGGCTTTTACATTAATTTTATTAGTAAAAATAGTAATAAAAAATGATTAGCTCCATTAGTACCATTAGTGGTATAAACCATCCAATGGAATAGTTATTTATGTACCACCAGGTTCAAGCTGACAGCAACATGTTACATTTCAAAATGTTGAACTATTCTATAATCTGGTGATGGCTCCTAGATAGTAAAGAATCATCCTTACTACATAAATACAAAGGGATGGTGTGGGTTCTGAATGTTAATTTGGCTAGTCTTATTTGCATGATTGTACAAATGGGACTTTCCTGGTATAGACAAAAGAGTGAACTTGCATTTTCATGATGTTGACATGTACTAGTGAAAACTTCTACCAGATATATTATTTATCATCATACATAAAACTATTTCATTTAAATAACTGATAATAAATAATGGACAAGTCTGAAGTTGACTACCATTGTTGTGCCTGGCATATTTGTGTTTAATTCTGTTCTAACTTTCATCTCTGTCTCACTTCAAATTTTAAACTTAATTCAGGCTAAGAACTATGCTTCAATAATGACTTAAATGGTCAGTGCCTTTCCTATTTTATTATATCTTTAGGAAAATCAGTAATCCAGGGAAAAGCACAACCTCTTAAACTGAAACAGAATGAGACTTGATATTTACAAATACATATTAAATTTCAAAGTTCTTTTTAAAATTGTTCATATTCTGCCAAAAGTTCAATAAAGCTGTCTTATAGCTACATCTATATAAATTTTATTTAGAAATCATACAATCAGTTTGCTAGGCTTATTGAACACAACATAAAACAATTACAATTCAGATATTCATTACTGTTCCCATGAGAGAAAAAATGCATATTTCATGCAGATATAATATCAACTGGAATGAAAAACTAAAAATAGCTGAATGTTGCATTAAATAACAAAATAGAAGATATGAAATATCACAAATAAATCATTATTTTGTTGATACAGACTAGCCACAACAAAAAAGGTAAAATAATATGAGATCAACCAATAATCAGAATTAAACAGGACAGCTAAATTTTGAAAACATTCCTGACTCTTACAAACATGTGGAGAAGCTGCTGGAAAACCAAAAGAAGTGCACACTTTTTGTAAGTGAAAAGGCAGAACAAGAAGACACGATCCCCTCAGAGGGAATAATTCAAGTTCTGAGTTTTTGTTTTAAAAAAGATTACATTAAACTGTAATTTAACAATTTAGTAAGATGAATGAAAAATTATATTTTGTTTAATTTCTAAAGAATTATTTTAAACATTTAATCTTAAACCATTTATGGAAGGTACAACGTGCTAGGTTGGTAGAAATTTTAAAAGGAATACCTAGCATAAATGAAGCTCACAAGAAAATGGTCAGAATTTTTGTGTATTAATATTTTAACGAAGTGGCTGTTTACATACAATTTGGAGAAACAAGTAAGCTAGGTTTTTATGTTCTTAGCTACTCAGGGACCTTAAACTAGTCAACAGTAAACCTAAAAGGTTAAAGTAATAGTAAGATAAAATTCTAAAGATACCAGGACACTCTGGGAAGTTGAGACAGGGGGACTGCAAGTTTGAGCCCTGCCTGGGAAATTCAGTGACTTAGCAAGACTCTCTTAAAATACTGGGAAGACACTGGGGTTCAGTTCCCAGTAGGAGGGGGTCACCAGAATATTTAAATAGTCAAGATTTCCTTGAAAGCTTTAAAATGTTAAATAAAACCATTACAGGTTCATTACAATAAAATTTTTATATTGCATGAATTACTTAAACTTATGGGAAGATAATCATTAAAAGATCAAATATGAAGAAAATACATATCAGTATAACTAAGATTGGTAAGTGCAATTGGTGTCAGTAAAACAGGAACAAATTTAGTGCTATCAGAGACATGCGTAAGTTTTCAATAGTATTAAGGATATTTACAGAATAATGTTATTCTTTAAAAGAAAAGGATTGCATTTGGCACTTTGTGAAAATTAACAGGAGGTTCACTGAGCGAAATACAATACTTAGCTAAATACAAAGCTGTTCCTAATGTCCGGATTTTGTCTAACTTCTGGCCCAGTGTCCTGAACCACAAGATTGGGGAAGAGAGGCTTCAGGAAGTTGAACTCACCAGTCCCAGAGTCGCCAGTGAGACAGACCTCATACCGGTAGCTGTGGGACAGCGTCCCAGCGCCGCCGACGTCCACCAGGCGGCCCGGAAAGGGGCCCTCGGGCGCCGAGA